TTTCATGTAACGGCAAATAAAATTTTTCCGACTTTTTTTTTTTTTAGAAAGGTATTTCATATTCTTAAGTCTCCGCCTAAAACTCTGAAAATGATTCATCCATCTGTGATTGCTAAGTCTACTGCCACGAAAATAGGTTGACTGTGTCATGTCAGACAATTTTTCTCGTCAGAATCCATTTTGAATATTTATAAATCTACCATTCGTCCGTGCAATACATATTGCTGCAATATCTGGTCTGGTGCTCCTAGTACGTATCTCGAAATTCTTAACAAAATCCAAAGAAGGATCTGTAATTTAATAGATCCTGATCTGGCATCTCGACTTCAGTCAATTTTCTCACCGAAATGACGTGGCTACCATCTGTCTTTTCTACAAATATTTTCATGCCAATATGTTCCGATGATATATTCTTAGTGCCTCGACTGTATGGATTTAAGCTTTCTCCTAGATTTGGCAACTAGGTCTCACCGTTTTACTGTTGAACCGCCGCTTCTATTCTAACAGGTTCTTCTCTCGCACTTCTCACCTGTGGAACACATTTCTGATTTCTTGCTTTACTGTCACCTAAAATCTTCAAAAATTTAAATGCAACGCCAATCTCCAAATTCTGTCTTCCTGAACTCTGTTCTTTTAATGTCCTTTCTCCTCCATTCTCTTCACCAGAGTCTTCTTATAATCCTTCATTCCTAGTAACTCTTTACGTCCTAGTAACAGTACCACCTTGCTTGGAGTTAAATGATTCAAAAATAAGAAAAACTGGAAAACTTATACTTATACTTATAAAACAGAATGTTAAAAGGACGGTTTTTCCATTGATTCCGCTATTATTTTAATTACCTTCACTCCTCGGCAATGTTTATTGTTTTTAAAAGCAATGATTAGAATTGTAATAAAAGTTAAACATACGATCGAAATGAATTCATACATTTATTTTTCTTGAGAGTTTAAAACAAAAATATTAAATAGTATTTATTAGATTATTTGTATGCAAGAATAATTTTATATTTACAACACTCTAAATCTAATACAATTAAAACTAACACAATGTAATATTTATCGTTTACCAATTTATAAAAAAATAAATATAAAAACAATTTTTCATACATAACTTTATAAACATTTACTAAATTATTAAAATTTGGAGACCAACTCTAAAGAAATCTGTATTTACTATTTTATAAAGTTCAAATCAATTGGCAATTATATTTAGCCAAACGAGGGTTACATATGGCATAAGGCCAGGTTTAACGTGGGATTTCCGAGCCCGTAGACTCGGCCAAAAATATTCCCTTTTTTGAACCCGCATAAACGGGTTCAGGGGCAGTCAACCACCCCGAACGAGACTCTGCCCTTCGGCGGAGCCTCGTTCGGGTTCCTTTCCGCCCGAAGGCAGATAGTTCGACTGTTACTTACCCCGGAGGCAATTAGCCGATGTTTTGCCAATCAATCCAATAAAGAATATCATCAATAAATAGTGTTTATTATTTTTGTTATTAATTATCAAGAACAAAGAAAATAATTCACTTTCTCCCTTGAAACCATCATTATGTAAACAGAAGGATTTTGTCCTAAGTCTCCAATTAATTTCCATTTAAGAATTTTTTCCCTTCATATTGCTCATCTTCTTATTGAAGTTTATACCTATATTACCCTCGATTTAGCTCTGTGGATCGGGGTTCGAATCCGATTAGCTAGCTCGTTTTTTTAAATTTTTATCCTTTTAATCGTTATCATGAGTGATAATAAAAATAAATTTTGTCCATTTATGGCGTTTATTAAGTTTTGAACCACCAATAACATCTTTAAATTCACTTTCATATGTTTAGGTTTTATTCCAGTTCTAATCATCGATTTTTAAAATAATAACCATTGTCGATGAGTCCTTTTGATACTTCAAGTTTGCCCCTTCCCCAAATTATTATACGGACAAATCAGTTGATGCTTGAAAATTAAGCCTCGCTTTTTAGAGGCAGGTGAGAATGTTAACATACAGGGAAAACGAATTATGAGATGAGAGGAAATGAAAGGTAAATGAAATAACATTTAAAATAAACACGTATTTTGACGCCAAATCAAAAATGTGCGTACAGAGAGTGTGGTTATTGAAGCATACAAAAAGCTTACTAAAACTATCCAACTATGGGGTTGTGATACGCGGAGAGTTTGAATTGGTTTTCATTGTCATTTAAAATGTGCGGAGAGCGATAGAGATAGGTAGATAGAAATTATTAGCAATGCAACGTAGTAGGGGAAACGTTCGTAGCGGACACACCCTAACCGGAGCCACCGTTGAGCCCGACCGATGGAATTAATGAGTTTAAAAAAGGAATGATAGTTGCATTGAATAAATGTAGGTATTATCTTCACGTTTCAAATGTTAGTGTAACCATGTTATTTTCTTTCTTTTTATTTTTTTAGATTTTTGCAGCCCGCATCTATTTTTTAATATATACTTTATACCTTTAAAAGAGCCAGATCAGAAATGGAGCTCACTTGCCTGTCTTGATGAAGTTCAAAAACGTCTACGCAGCCTTGTGGGTGATGAATTATTTCTACCCTATCTCTGTTTCCATGCCACCAGGAGTTGAATAAAATGTTATATTCAAGCTTCATTCTAACCAATTGTGGCAATATCTATTCGAATTCATAGCAAATACGGTTAATTAAAAAAATTATTTCCCCTCTACCCCCCGCAAAAATCCCACTTCATTTTGTATTTCTTGTTGAAAAAGCACACAATCGTGTCTGACAATTTAGCGTTTTAACTTCTCTCTTTAACATCTTAACAGCTTCCATTTGGTCAAAAGGCCGACTAATATACAATAAATATTATTAAACATATTACCAGTATTATTATTTTTGGTGTTTTTTTTTTATATATCTCGAATTTTCTTCATCGTACTACTATATACTCGACTCTCCCGTCGTATTCGACGTATGAGGGTCAAGCGGCTCAGTTCATTGGAACCGACAATAGGGAGAGAGAAAGAGAGAAGTAATGTGGACAAAAACTTGCCACTTAACTGGGTGGTGTTATTTTAATCATGCCGACTTCGAAGTTTCGTGAGTGCATTGTTGTAACACCTTCACTCTTCAGGGCTAGTGAAGAGAAGTCAATAGCTCTAAAGAGTGAAAGCATTGCAACAATCCGCTCACGAAACTTCGAAGTCGGCGTGACTGAAATAACATCATCGAATTAAGTGACAAGTTTCTCCAAATTAATTCTATTAACGCTCTATCCTTATCATACGAAATGATAGTGTGTACTTTAAGACAAAAACCTGCCTGCCTAAAATGCCTTTCCACCAGTAATCTGCGGAAAAAGGATCAGCAATTCTGGCACCTAACACTCTTACAATTTAATATGATAGAAAGAGAGAGAGAAAGAGAGATATTTAATTTTTTTTAAATATTTCCTTTCCATAAGAGCTGTCTGCGTGCCATCCGTGGAGTTAGATTTCAAGACAGGACATAAATGTAGACCCGGTTAACAAGTTTAATATTGGAGGAATCGAATTTTTTACACACACACACACACACATATATATGTATATATATGTATGTATAACAATGCTTCAATGTTTATTTAATAATACATATATATATATATATATATATATATATATATATATATATATATATATATATATATATATTAAATAATCATTGAAGCATAATATACATACATATATATATATATATATATATATATATATATATATATATATATATATATATATATATATATATATATATATATATATATATATATATATATATTAAAATGAATCGTGCACTATGGCTGTCTGACGTCTGTTTACATTCGTAAAAATAATTTCTCACTGTCGTGCGCTGATAACTCCGACTGATGCGAAGACGGTCGGGTTTCGATCCTGGCTTGAAGCAATCAGATATCTAACCGCACTGATGAATGTAGATGACATCATATATATATATATATATATATATATATATATATATATATATATATATATGTAGATGACATTATATATATATATATGTAGATGATATATATATATATATATATATATATATATATATATATATATATATATATATATATATATATATATATATATATATATATATATATATATTCCTATCAAATTACTTATCGAACATCTTTCATATGAAACATATTGAAAAATATAGATTGTACTGAAATCAACAAAGATATAGATATATATATAGAAATAGATGCAAGTTTTAAAATCTCATTTTTTGCATGTATTCTCCAGACGTTTAATTTTAAGCCCAAAACATGAAAAGAGAATGCCATTATGCAACCACCATTCAAACTCAATTTAATAAAAGTCCATGATTCACTTGGCTCATTTGATCAATTACAGTTTGCTGGAGCTAGCGTTTGTCTGCTACAAATACTTCCTGGATAAAGAGAAATTAGATACGAGAAAAAAAAACTTCTTGCTAAACAGTTATTCCCCTTCGCGAATAAAAATTATCTGATCTTCCATTGGTCAGAAAAAGAATAACGATTTGGAATACTATTTATCAAGAAGTCTTCGTTTGATTATGAGTTTGTTGTTTACTGTTAAAGAGAAATGATTATTTTTTTTACAGTTATATAAACGATGGTTAAGACACCGACTACTGCTAGAAATGATCAGCATACATTTCTTTTAGTTACTGCTGTAGTTAGGCTTCTATATTCACGAGACTTGTGCACAAACAGTGAAGCGTTATTAAAATTGTTCTTTCTGCTGTGGTCCGGCGACGCAGCAAGAAAGAAAATTCCATCCAAGTAAATGAATAATAAGCTGAGTGTTATAGAATTACAAAGATAGAGAAAATAAAGTAAAATTATAAAAAATAATAAATAAGGTAGAGGGAAAGAAAAGAATAGTGATAAAAACAAAGAGTTTTTTTTGTTTTTACATTTGAGTCTGGTGAAAGATCAGATATATTTTCCAGTGTCTCATGTAAAACGAAAAAATAGATTCAGTGGCTTGTAATACAAGACAGACACATAGATAGATAGATAGATAGATAGATAGATAGATAGATAGATAGAAAGAGAAAGAGATAGAGGCGTAAAGATACAGACATGGCCAAAATGCGAAAAGTTAGTCTAGTTAGGTTCTTTCGCTTCATCCAACTTACTTTACAAAAAGGGGTTGTGGCCCGTGTAGGTATCTATCCGTGCGGCCACGTCGCAACCGAATGATACAAGGTCAGTTTAAAATGGTCTTACAGGCAATACCGTGGAAAAATAGTGGAATCACATCGACATTTACTTACATTTTGGGGGAGGTCTGATTCAGCCCTCTCTCGAATGAGTGATACTGCCTTGGGGTGAGGGGAGATGCCCAACCTGTAGCTTGAGCTAATATTATTTCAACGATATATATATATATATATATATATATATATATATGATATATCCCGGAAAGGGATATATTTGTTCGAAGTAGCAAAGTGGTTGTTGACTACTGTAACCGAGTAGGACAATCTAGCAGGTAATCGTAATGGACTGATCCTCGTCATAGGCGTAGGCAATAGACGTCATCCCTGTACCTCCACATCAGTCTGTATTTATGGCTGACACCAGCCAATCATATTACAGTGAGGGGGAACCCAGGTGTATGCATATTCATTACATCAATATATATGTCTGAGAAAATGCCTGCAACAAGGATTGGCTAGCGGCCCTAGTAGAGGTATACTCAGATACGAGCGGCCAACGTATATATATATATATATATATATATATATATATATATATATATATATATATATATATATACAGGTTCTTTTACTGCCGCACCAGTCAGAATTTATTTAAATATAAGGATCATATTTCTCATTTTATTATTAAAATAGATACAAAAGTATCTCGTTTAAGAAAAAAAAAGGGAGATTTAAGATACCTTTCGGCCGACACTTCTTCAGAAAAGTAATCGTCGGCAGTATAAAACAAAGAAGTTGATAAGAAAAATTATTATCAACGACCGATGTTAAAAACAATAGATTACCAAGATGTAATAAAAGGGAGAAAATTAAAGAAAGAGAAAAAAAAAACCTTATGAGTACTAAATATTTTCTAGGTTAAGCAATAATCTCCCCGAATAAGACCAACCTGAATTTCATCTCCCTCTTTCTACACAGGGCAGGACGTTGCATATTAATAATAATAGACTCCAAGTTATCTAAATGGAGCCTCGTCCTAGTCATGCGTATGACAGAAAAGAAATCAGGAAAATAATTCGTCCTGCAATCGACAGAATTTAAAAGGTGTTCACCAGTCGCTGACTCGTGAGTCTGCGAACACCCAAATATATATTACCGAAACGTTTGTTGTGTATAGGAAATAGACGCACAACAGATTACTCTAAGTTCGAATATCGCCATGATTGATATATTCGCCGAGGTGTCTTCTTGATAGAGATAGTAAATAAAGTCTGAGGTCTCTTGCTGCGGGACAAATATTCTATTAATCCCTGTTTTGCTATTAAAAATGATGGTTCTGTCTTCCTTTTTATATGCTATACTTTTTCAGGAAGCGTTTGATCATAGTTCTTCACATTTTCCCGCTCTTTTCTGCTCTAAATAATCTTTGATCCTTCGTCTTTGTCCCTATTCTTCTATGCATTCATTCAATCTCATTAAGAAGGTTACTCCCTTCTCTTACCATGTGAGTGTTAGATTCTCCAAGCCTGTTATCTCTACTATGTAGCCCATTATATATGTGAAACAGTTCAATTTTGATTTAGTTGTACTCTTTAATGAAAGTGAATTTATTCTACCTAATGATATATATTTGTCTGATATTTATTGAATTATTGACTGAACTAGAATAGGGTGAGATATTTTGAGGCCATTTTCAAAAATTATATCACATGGAAACAAAGAGTGAAAGAATGGGGAAGGGAAAGAGAGACAGAGTGAAAGAGAAGAGAAGAAACAGGAAAACGAAACAATAAAGGTGTGTGGGTATGTGTGTGTGTGGATAGATAGATAGATAGATAGATAGAGATAGATAGATAGATAGATAGATACCAGACTGTTGGTGATTGTTGAAAAGTAAAGCCGGACGCGAGATAGAGAGTTATAGGCATGCAATATCGTTATATACGTTTGTGACAGCGGTGTCTGCATCCCAGTTAGACACGCAAACCCTTGAAATCAACAATTTGTCGATTTCCTATTATATACCTTTACCGATATTCACCATTTTTTTTCCTTTCTGTTCTTTCCTTTGCTCCCTTTTTTTTTTCTTTTACTTCTTTTTTTGGGAAAGAAGTGTGTAAATTCACTAAAATGAGTTTTATTTTTACCCTACTTTTAGCCAAAAAAAAAAAAAATAAGATCATATTTCTGATGCATTCGCAGCAGCAGCAACAGCAGCAGCGCGCGTTGATTTTCGCTTTTAATTTCTTTTCTTTTTCCAGAGAATAATAATGTTTTTTTTTTGTTTTTTTTTTTATGAATATGTCTCAAAGTCTTAAATCCTATCTCTGCATAATTTCAGGTTAATCCATTTTCCACAGGTCAGACATGTTTGCGCACATTCATTTCCTTTTTTTCCAACTTTCTTAGGACAATTGAATCTCTTCTTTTTATATTTACCGTTATTAATACATCGTTTCGGCCAATCTAATCTTCAGCCTTCGTCCGATGCAATCCGTGGGAACAAAGGAAACCGGTTTCCCAAGTTTTAGGAAATTCATTCACGGATTAAGATTAGCAGTAATAAAAAGAGATTTAAGTGTCCGAACAACTTGTGATATCTTCTCTAAGATTATAAAGACAATACATTTTTGTGAAATTTTGGGGTTGATACTTCAATTCCATTTACCGCGCAAACTGTCTATTCCGACGGGAAAACGAATTTTTTTAAATTAATTTGATTTTTTTTTTCATTCTCTGTCACCGACACCATAGCAAACTCACGAAAAATAGCTCGTTGGGAACGAATGATGAGTTATTTTAATACTGCACGTAGTAAATATTAATTCAATAATTTATAAATCATCATTTAAAATGGTGTTCCACATCATTGATATGGTATAATATACTCATAGTCAAGAACAGATTTAACAGGCATCAGTGCCTGTTAACATATATTGCATTTGGCATGAAAACCGAGTAGTACAAACGGTGCAGAATAATATGCATATATATATATATATATATATATATATATATATATTATAGCTTGGTATATAACATCGAGCACTGTTCCAATAACACCAATACTTTATGTGCAATTCATAAATTTATATATATATATATATATATATATATATATATATACTTTTATTTTGTATCGTTAAAGTTTGCAATTACTGTTTCTGCCATTGTTATGAATTAAGTTTAAATTTCTTGTTAAATTTATTCATCTTGCTGTTCGGGTGCAGAGCACTTTTATACTTTTGAATAATCAAATGCATAACCAGATCAATTAATTTAAATCCAGTTCAAACTTAACACGTCGACTGCTAACCCCAAGATAATTTGGGTTTGGCATTTTTTATTATGGCGCCGACCACGCTGAATTATCTCGTGTCGACGACGAGTTGGCATTTTCCTCAGGCGCCAGCTACGTGCTTTTTTTGCGCAGTTTTATTTTTAGTGTAAAAAACAACGTTAAAACTTAAGTTAAAGCTAAGAATCAACTCATTCTATTTATTCCCTAAGTTATCTATTGTAAATAAGTTATATTTCGTAATTTTCCTCTGACAGTCAACGTGTTAAAAAGAAAAGTAATTTTGAATTCCTTTAAACTTACTTTTTTTTAAATTCTTTAAGCCTATTTCCAAGAAATCTATTTATATCCATTAATTTATGGTTATATCCATATAACGCCTATTATATATTCATTAATTTATATGTATACATTCATATAACGCCTTCGTAAATAACACCTCATTTCAAGGATCTCAGAACGCCATCACAAACGCGCATGCGCATTATCAGTAGACCGTTGTCGTTTCCGTTCCATGCGCAGTACCTACCTTCCTCATGTTCGAAAATAGTAGTAGGCTGCTTCCGGTAGGGCTGTGGAGACTTACTCTTTTTTGGCATTTCTTTGTTTGAGGCAGGAATTTGGGGTGAGGGAGATGGTGATTTTTGTTTGTTACCTGCATCATCGTCTTCGAGGGGTTCATTGACCGTGGGGACCACAATGGGCGCGGGCGCGGGCGCTTCCTCTTTCTTCTCTGGCTCGGGAG